AGCAGAAAAGCCCCGACAGGTCCATGCCAAAGCATCGCGGCAATCCCACCGCCTCCGGTTCCGAGTGCACTCCACAACGAATCAATCCTTTGTGGACCAACGAATGCAGCAAAGTCAAGTAGCCGTTTTATGTTAACTGCTGAAGCTGGTGACAGTTCAGACTGGTGGTGGTGAAGGTGCTGCTGCTGGTGGTGGTGCTGTTGCTGCTGCCCGGGGTGCTGTTACTGCCACTGGTGGTGGTGCTGTTGCTGCTGCCCGGGGTGCTGTAGAAAAAGTACGGCTTGGTGCCAGTTTGTCAGCGTGCACCACCCTTTCAGGGTTGTATGGGTAAATCCCACTCTTAGCAAAGCCGTTGAAGGCAACCTCAGGTCTTGTGGTGGCGTCCCAGACAGGCTTCAGTGCTGCTGTGAAGGTCCTGACACTTATGCTTTCTCCTGTTTGATTCATGACCTTTTGGCACTGTTCCCCCCAAGCCTGCTTCATGGCCCCAAACAGAGATTGGTCCAAGGGCTGGATGATGTGTGAGGCGTGGCTCTTTAGGCAGTAGAGCAGTATCTGCTCCTCGATGCAGAGATCGATCACCTCAATGTTGGAAGTGTGCGAGGTGTGGCCGTCGACGAATAGCACAACCGGTTTCCTCTTGTGGGCGACAGCTGGTACGAAGCAGTCCCTGAGCCAGGACATAAACACGTCGGTGTTTATCCATCCATTGGGAGAAATCTGGAATTTTGCCTCTGGGAAGCCAGCCATCAGATCGAAAGCAGTCTCCTCTTGTAGGGGAAGATTATAAATGGTACGACGTAGTGGCCGTTGGCAGAGCAACACGCAAGTACGGTGAGGCTCTGCTTGGTGTTGCTGGAAAGGTTGTAGACATGTTTACTCCCTTTTGCTGCTACCACTTTTTGGGGCTTGGGGCACAGATGGAAGCCTGTCTCATCGGCATTGTACAGCCGATCCGGTGATGTGAGGAGTGTTGGATCTACGCTGTCCAAATATTCCTTCATGTCTCGAAACCAGGCAGCCAGTCCGTCCGGCGTTACCAGGGCTCGCTCCTTCCCTAGAGCTGATGGCGTCCTGCTAGAAAGGTCTGGGTTCCTTTTAAAGAAGTCTTTTAGCCACTGTTTGCTCGGACGGTTGTCAGGGCTACTCGTGACTGCCTGGCGTGAATCAAGAATAGCCTTGACGGTGTCCTTGATTTCCTGCTTCGACTTTCCGAAACCTCTCCTGGCACACTCCTTGAGCCATTCGCTGAGCTTAAGTTCCTCTTCCCTAGTGAGTAGGGTACGCGGCTGGGGGTTAACAGGCCGTCTGCCTCGTACCTTGTCCCCGAGAGTAGCATATGGAATGCCGAAAGCCTTGCTTGCTCCATTGAGGGACATGGATCCATCTTTGACGGCTTGTATGGCCACCAGCAATGTCGCTTGTGTATAGGGATGTCGAGGTACTGGTGCCATGATGTTGAATAAACTGGAGAAAAAAAAATCGAAGGTATCCATTAGATACAGAGCAGAAAAAAAATTATTCCTGTAAATGAACGTGAAAGTAGAGTTATTTAGATAGCTTATAAAGTTGTCGGTTTGACTGTTGAGACGTCAGGGGCACGGTAAGGATGTGTGTGTGTGCATGCGTGCGTGAATATTGTTTATTTATGTAAAGCGCATAGAGCTGTGTTCACACGGGAGTGGACGCTACAGAAAGGATCTTCATTATTATTATTATGTATCCAGAAAGATAATAAACAAAGCAGGTCTTCTCTTAAAAAGGGGAAAGATGATAAACGAAGGGTAAATCTATAGATCTAGCTCAGAAAGGCTTAAAAGTCTAAATTACAGTTAAGAAAGTAAAAGAATAAGTTGTCAGATGCGTAGTCTAGTAATTTACTGGTCTTTTAAATGGTAAGAAGCAATCAAGACTAGTTAGCGCATAAGAATCCTAATTTAAAACAGGTCATATCCATCCGCTAAGTCCTGGCGCATAACATCCAAATTCAGGTCACGGGAATATTCATGCGCTATCCTCGTGATCAACCAAAGGGAGGCTAACCTCGGCCTGAAATTATAATTAGACATGAGATCATCCCTATTTTTACCTATTTAGGCCATGCTATGTCTTGTGGGAGAATATTGTCGAATGCAAAAGCTTGCTATCATGACCCTGTTGCTTAGCAATTTTGTAAAAAAGTAGGATGAAACAATTCTTACCTCGATTTTCCGGGACAGTGTCAACAACGAAAGTGAAAGCGCCTGTGCAAAGGGCTGGAAACGACCGGATGTTGTGATGAACGAAAATTCGAAATTGAAACCGGCGATATCAATTAGATTCCGCAAAATAGATTCAGTTTGATTACGTAATCAAGCCGGCCATTTTGAATATATTATCAGCCCAACAGATATCGAGTTCAAATTTTTATGACGCTAAAATATTGAATTATCAATTAGATTCTGGTAAGAGTGTATTTGACCATCTGTGAATGATATGAACCTGATAAGATGAAAGATATGGGCATTTCAAGAGTGCAAGAAGAAAATTGTGAAAGGCACTGGAGCAGCCAAAATCGGATGTATTTTCGGATCGCACAGGTGGGTCAGCGCAAGTCAAATATCTGAACCTGATAAGAGGAAATATATGGGCATTTCAAGAGTGCAAGAAGAAAATTGTGAAAGGCACTGGAGCAGCCAAAATCGGAGGTATTTTCGGATCGCACAGGTGGGTCAGCACAAGTCATATTTTCTAAATAACCAATGTTACGAGTGTTTTGAAATGGAACAAACTTTGAAAATACTGTAAGCTGTGGTGGGAAAATTTACCATTGACTAGTGCTAGTTGTAAATGTGTGGTGTTTGCGTTTGATAATTATCTGAAAAATAACACGTATGTCCTGACTGTGACGGAACAAAATATCAAGGTTAGTAATACTCACAACATTGAACACAAATATTAGTATGAAGTTTGAAGTAAAAGATCAACTTACCCACTGAAGTCTTGAAGATTTTCAGGTAAGTATTCCGTCGTAAAGAATTTCACGTACACCCGCAGAGAATTTCACACAACACATTTGAAAAACATTTCAGAAGGCCTAATACAATTGGGCAGAGGAAAACCCCCCCACCAAAAACCCCCCCCAAAAAACCCCCACACACACAACTATGTACAGAACTCCCAATTCCAGAATCCTCACTGCATCAGCTGCTCTCTTGCAGCCTTGATGTCCTTTGCAGTGTGATATATGCGGAAACAGTCCTCGATACAAAGGGCAACATTGCACTCCGGGCAGTAGTGTCGGGTCTGGGCACGTTTTTTTACCGTGGCACAGACCTTGCACACAGGGCGGTGCTTGGCATCTGCAAACTTTGAAGGGGAGTGCCCAAAAGCTGCTGCACAGAGGCTGCACATCTTCATCAAAATGTTCACAATTCTCTTAATAGCAGAGGCAGGCATACTGTATTCAAGTCCGAAAAAATTTTGGAAATGGGACAGCATCCAGGCTAGTCGTCTCCGGCAAAAAACGGTGTCTGAGTTCTTTAAAAAATATGACAAAAGCACAAAGTAAAGGCATTCCTCTGAAGGGCGTGTTAGATCGCCACGGTTGATGGCATCGAAGTATGTCTTCATCTCGTCGTCACAATCGGTAAGTGTTCCAGACAGTTCCGGGTGGTGGTGGGCTACATAGCCAGCAATGTAGTAAATAGCCATTGTCTCATCTGGAGACATTTTGCTGGTGGAAAAATCCTCAGCCATACCATCAATAAGTTCGAGGTCTTTCAGGGGAAATGGCTTTTCACACAAACTACAAGAGTGGATAGTATTGGTCTCTTCACTTAAGTCAATTAGGGACAAAAGTAACCTTGCTCTGTCCAGGGCATGGGTGCTAAAAACTTCCCTCACAGTTATGTAATAATTGCACCCAGCGGAGCGCCTGAAATGGCCGAAGTGGTGTTCCAGGTCATCCTGTTGCCAATCGCCAAAGCAGACATACTGGTGACGGTAGGCCTCTGTTGTTGTGATGAGGTGCTGAGCTAAAGCAGAAAAGCCCCGACAGGTCCATGCCAAAGCATCGGCAGTGTTGACAGTTAAAGATTTGACCCTGACTCTGCCGCTTGCTCGCATTGTCTGGGCAATATTTGCCCACTCTTCTAAAAGTACTCTGGCCCTCTCACCATTTACCCCAGTGTCATACGGGATTCTGTCAGGGTCATGGAGATGAATATGTTGTGCTGGCGACTTGCAGTTCCACAGCTTCCACAACTTCAGAACAAATGTAATGAAGCATGCAGTGTCCTTCCATCGATCCGTGCTTCCTGCCGATGTCACTAAAGCACTTCTCGTTTCATCGCAAAAAACTTTCAGTGCAAGTTATACCTTCTGCTTTTCTTGGTTGGAAGGCTGCACACACACTTTGTTCAACCTGGAGAGCTTGACCGGAGCACCTTCTTCTTGCTGGTACAACTCTTCAAGCGACGCCCATGTCGCTTCTTTCCTTTCACCGCTCTGAGAACCATTTGAGGGGAAACACAGAGTTTTCGTTTTGTCTGATCCAATTATTTCGAATGTTCTTCAGTAAATTATGAACAGGATCAAAAAGAAGAAAAAGGGGCTTTGATGGATGGCTTAAAGAAGGAACCACCCAGGGTGTTGAAGCGGTAAATCCAGGAAACTATTTAAAATATATGACTGATTAACCTTACTGTTGTCATTTATAATACCAAGAACAGTCGCACCTGATTTCTCCAATGATTGAATAAGCTCTGACACAATATTATATTGGAAACGTGAAGAGAGCGCATGACAGGGAACCATCTTTCCTATAAATTTCTTGCCAGTACATGGATCACATACTTCTTGATTCGAATCAACACCAGCACTTAATAATATCCTGAAAACAGAATTTATGCCATAAAGCACAATAATAGTCAACTATCACATTCAAATCGGGAGCAAGGCTAATGAAACACACTCTGAATGAATACTTAAGAGCACGCACACAACACAGCACGGCACGCCATTGTCTACGACACCTTGTTAGCCTTGTAGGCCTACACTCGGTTCAAATTTGCCCCCGGCCTTCTCGATAAGCCCTCTCGACCCTTTGTTTACATTCGGCTGCTGTTCCTGCTTTAGTTCCGATATCCTCGGGTCAGGCCGAATGACATGGGCGAAGTTGAAAGTCGAGCTGCTCTCCACCACAGCAGCAACTTTAGTCCTTTGCAGCCGCTTCTTAATAAGACCAAAGCACCAGTCCGGGCTAAGCTTGGGTGTGGCCAGTAATCAAAAAACTCATTTTGATGCTACAGTGACGGCTAGTCGTGACACGCCACAGTAGGTAATTCATCATCACGCTGTTCTTATTCTGTCCCGAACAATTGTCAGCATGAATGTGGAGATCCTTTTCACCAAGTCCATAGTTGCTAAGGAAGTGGTGAAGCAGGGAAATCACACAGTCAGCACCTTTGCCGGGCGAACACGCTTCGTCTATCGAGTAGTTTATCTGTTTAGATAATGCTTCACAGTGGATCCCGAAAAGCCCACACTTCCTGGGGGTCTTGAAGTAAGTGGGCCCTGACTGAAGTGGGTCGGACGAGTACTGCACTTGCTGTGCAAAATCAAAACTGTAATGGACAACACTATCTTATTATTGTAATAGAAACCCAAAATAATAGTGTAATCAAAACAAATGAGCGTGTAAGGCTACACCTGATACAACACATGTAAAAGAAGTATGTGTTTCGTGGTAGAAAAAATGTTGTTTAGGCTTGTTCTCACAATGAAAACTAGGCAGTAACCAAATAGTAGAGTAATTACAACAAACAACAAGAATTTGTTAGACTTTTTTACAACAGAATGTGTTCCTTTTGTTTTTTTTACCTTCCACAATATAAGGAAAGGGTTCTAATGAACAGAAGATGGGGGCTCTTGTCTGTCCGCCATCTTGAATTACTCTCTTTTGTACAAAAATCAAAGCAAGAACAAAAGAATTCACCTCTATAAGCTAAATAGAGGGCATATATAAATGTATGCAGCTCGAATTGCGATGTCTGAGAGCCAAAGGGAGGCTCCTCCAGCAATATTAGCCCTGGAAACGCTCACCGTGTTACCGGAAGTGAACCACCAGAAATGCCCGGTCGCCACGGCCGGTTGTTTACAAATATGGGGGTGTGGCAGACGGCAGAGCTATCAGCTGAGATTTTTCCTGCTCCTGAAAATTGACCATTTACGGCTAAATGAATGATAAAAGACTAAAACCATATACTTTCTGAAAGCTGATATAATGAGACATTAAAAAATAATACTTATAATGATGGAAAATATTTTTATGTGTTTTTTTTTCACAGGTTAGAAATTTGAATTTTCAAGTTTTACAGGTATTTGGACAAAAATTAAAGACAAAGATCTACTTATGTGACTTACCTTGGCAAATAAATCATTTTTTTAACCATCAGAAACACACCACAGTAATAGTAATCCACTTTGAATAGCACAAACCTGAAAAAGAAACAAAAAAATATTCTCCCCCTCTCAGTCCCTGGCACTGAATATCAGTTTTATAACCAGGTTGCTGGCTTGGGACTGTCTCACCCCATTAGGAGTAGTCCTAAAAAGGGCTGTTTGGGGGGGGGGGGGACTGTTCACTCCAGCTGCTGCTGCCTCCTCTTCAAACCACGCTTATATTATAGTCCCTGCAAGAGTGGTAAATTTTGAAGCAAGGGGTGATATGCAGGCCTACTTTGCATGATGGGCACTCATAGCGTGAGTGTTTGCACTTCCCAGTTTCTGAGCATACGACGCAGTCACTCTGGGGGGTTCTGAACCTTGGCACCTGGCTTGGGTACGATGAGTTCAGCAAAGTGACGACCTGTCAGGCGGAGAAGTGCGGATTCCCGGAGCTCAGTGGGACTCGTGGTGTTGCTGAGAGGGGTGGGCATGAAGGAAATCAGAAGCTTGGCCAGCTCCTGGGGGAAATTGCGGTGGGTAAACTTCTTAGCAGAAGTAGCTTTGTGCACTTAGTGCACGATGAAAGCGTTGAGGACGCCCAGCATAAACTTATGGGGAAACGCCTTCTTCCACCACTTCCCCCGAGTCTGTCGCTTGAAAGCGTTGTAGCTGACCATCTGATCGCTCCGATCAACCGCTCCCATGTATTTGTTGTACTCGGCAACAGCTAGGTAATTCCCTGGTGACGGGGTTTGTGCGGCCTGTGGTAACGATGTTGTCATTATGCGCTGAGGTCAGCACATTCTCTTCCCTCTTGTCAAAGAACCTCAGCAAGTTGAAAGTGCCGTTAGTGAGGCTGACTGAGGGGTCGCCCTTCTTCGGTTTCGGGAGCATATACTTCGGAGGGGCCATGTCTTTTGTTCAGTCGAAGAGTTCCACAGGCCAGAGTGCGCTGGTTCTTCAGAGAAGTGAAGAGGTCGTGACTTGTGTAGTAGTTATCCACGTACAAGACACGACCACAGCCGAGGAAAGGCGTTTTGAGTTGGTCAACGACGTCGTACGTGGCTCCGAACGTTGAACTGTCCTGCTTCCCGGTGGAAAACTCCAGGTTGGAGCAGTAGCCCGTTGCGCTGTCACACAGTTCAAAATCTTTGATGCAGGACTTGTCTGGCTTGTTTGGGTTGTAAACCCGGAAGGCAAGAGGACCCCTCCAAGCCACCGTGGCCCCATCTAAAGCGATGTTCCTTCCCGGCTTGAACACACGAAGAAAGTTGTCTTTCAGGCTGGTGACAAAGTTTCTGATCTTGAACAACGGGTCTTGGTCAGCTTGTCCTTGTGGCACCTGCTCCCTGTTGTTGCAAACATGAAGGAAGGACAGAATCAGGCAGAAACGGTCCCACTTCATTATCGATCGAAACAGTGGCAGGCTGAAGATCTCGTCCTCGCTCCAGTACTCGTCGAGATCGTCAATGACGACGAGGCCCATGGCTATCACTAGCTCGAAAAAGACCCACATCTCCTTGACGGTCACGTCCACCCGGCTTTTGAAACGGGAAGAAGGACTCGCCTCCTTGTCCTGCAAAGTGTCGGCAGCATATCTGAAAAATAAAGATAAAAACACTCCCATCTATACTACTCATCACCTCGCTCGCTCTCTCTCTGTCTCTCCCTCTTTGTCTCTCTCTCTCTCTCTCTCTCTCTCTCTTTCTCTCTCTCACAGACACTCAAATCACCTGTCTGTCTCTGTGACGATGGACTCCATCATCGTCCTGTTGATCATGAGGCTCAGGTAGTCAATGGAGTTGCATCTGGCTCCATTTCCACTCGGAGACTGGGGTCTCCAGTGAACGAAAAGTTGATTGGGGTTGACGATCCCTCTCTCCACGCTCTGTTCTCTTCCTTCTCCCTGCCGTTATCCTCCTCATCGGGTCGTCTTCGATTGATGGGAGGGACGTTGCTCTGAGTCGAAGATGGCGACTCAGCAGGCTCCTCTATGTCAGAGTCGGCGTCGACAACTGACAAAAACTCGGTGATGAATGACCCACTGGGCCCATCAGTCAACAAACTTCTCAGCACAGAGGGATTACTGAGATCCAATACCTCGAAACCAGAAGGCAATGCCATTGTTATCAGACAAAAGGCGTACAACAAAAGGCTCCGAAAGCTGTTCAAGAGTTGAAGTGATGCAGATCAAAGGCAAACAGCAGTCAACAAAAGACGCGCAGTTTTTTTTTCATTCTTTGCCTATGTAAAGATGAGGGATAAAAGTTTTTTTTCTTCTATTTTTAGATACCAAATAAGTAGGTCACATATGCAAATGAACAATCATACGCACATCCTTGTGTTTTTTTAACTGCTGTGCCGGCAAAGGTAATCTTTTCCACCATGGCCAATCTAGTGCAAGTTTAGCTCTCAAGCAGTGCTGATTGTATGCACCCTCTTCCACATTTCCCTCCTCAAAGCCTACACAAAGATCACACCTGTCTTTTCGAGGATGGAACAATGACAGGTTCATAGCATTGAACTCTTCCTTAAATTTGAAGGTAAAAAGTACCCTAACACCCCACCACCTTCCCCCCTCCCCCGACTCATACTTTTCTTATACAAACGGCGGTACACTGCCTATAAGCTCTGGAAAACAGGTTCCAAGTGTAACTTACTGGAGTCCTTCCGACAATAGTGAGATGGCAACTTGGACAGATCGCGAAGAAACTGTTTAAGTGCTTTTGATTCTGTAGTCTCCACCCTCGCCCTTTCTCTCTGAACTGGAACCACTCCGTCTGCTATACCAAACCCACATGTGATTACATTGTGAGCCCACCAGTTACAGAGTCCTGTTGTACTCAGAAAGAAAGCCTTTCACACTTTGACTCTGGCCCCATTCACCCGCAGATGGTACTTCATGAAACTTGACCTTTTGCTTTCTCCCTCCTTTTTCTCCAAAGGCTCGACAGTCGACCAACCCTTTAATAAAAGCAGCCTTTTCAGGACAAAGTACAAACATAGTCAAACGCCTCCTTCGGAGCAATGCGTTATCGCTGTGATCCACTATGGCGGGCGACCTAAACGAAATAGACTGTTAGAATTTTTCTGTCATGGAAGCCAGTCGAATTTTTTTTGGTCAAAATTTTTCGGGATTTTAATAGGACGTAGCCATTCGTCGTGTTGATGTATTTTAAGGAAAAACGCATTTTGAGAAAGTCTTGGAATTAGATGATTAGAATTCTTGGCCGACGATATCTAAGCTGTAAAGTTGCAATGGGAGGTAAAAACCTGTTATGTCTCGTAAATAACTGTAGACTAGGTTATTATTTATACCCACTCTATGCATTATCATTAAGCAATTTATAGGGACCAGAAGCTAGGCTAGATCTATTTAAAGAAAAAATTGGTTATACACATATTAAGATATTAGTACTTAAGATTTTAGATACCAAAAAAAAAAACCCAACGAACAAACAAAGCCTGACTTAGAAAAGTCTAGACTTATAAATATTTGAATTTTGTATTTAGCTATTTTTAAAAAAAGGTCCCTACCTTAAGAGTGGACATCCATTTATCAGCTGATAAAAATGAACTGCTTGCGCAAGCAAGTGTACGAACAAACTCCGCCTCTGCTCTGGTAGTATCGAGTTGGAGGTCGTCAGTGTTTTTTGCCCCCACAGTCCCAGCCTGCTTCAACATTTTAGAAGCATCCTGGTGTTTCTTGAACTGCTGTGCCGACAGAGGTAATCTTTTCCACCATGGCCAATATTGATCTCTGCATGACCTGTCGTGCAGAAAGCATACTGGGAACCTTTGACACAACTGGTCCTACCCGAAATTCGGGTCGGTATTTGTTCAGATGCCTGGCTCTTAAAAAGAGCAACAAGGCTTTTACTCCTATTACTCCTGCGACAAGAGTGTATAACGCTACCCCATTGCTTTGATAACTCGTTTTGATCTAACTCTGATAAATGAGTTTCCTGTAAACCTATTACATCTAACTTTTCAGACCCGAAATTTTTTACCACTGCTGTTTATTTCTTATGGTTTTATAATCCCCGTACATCTAGTGTTCCTATCTTGAGTAGTTCCTGTAAAATTAACTTCGTATTACCTGCCATGTCGCTGTTCGTTCTTGTAGTCCGAGTGTACATTCATTGTCGTCATCTTGGTCCATCCACCCTTAATGCTTCTCTCTCCTCGTACATCTAATGTAGCGATCTTCAGTGGTTCTTCTAATTTTATGAACTTACTCTATTCCTTGAGGTAATATCGCTGTTTTATCTCGTAATAGCCAGGTTGGGTGCTTTGTCGTCTTCCATTGTCTAGTGGCCATTGCATCCTCTTCCACAGAGGTCTCATTCTTATCGGAGATCTCATGCATGCACTGGTTGACCAGTGTGTATCCTCTTCTTTCCATCCCTTGTCGACAGACTCGTCCTTAGGATCCTCCACTTGCGAACCGAACCCAACTTTTTTTCGCGCGCTCATATGACCTTTTGCAGTTGCGAGCGCCGCAATACTCTTACTAAAAAAAAAACCCTGCTGGCTGTGTGTTGTAGCACGAGCTCCTTGACACTGGGAGCCTCCCCGCCGGTGACCTTCCCTACTAAAATAAAGCTTAGCTATATATATATATTAGAGCCAGCCTGTATCTTATTAGTAATATCAGGGAGGGGCTGAAAGTCTTATTTAGGGTGGCTTCAAATTACACTTTGTAAACACATTTCTAAGTTGATTTTAAGAATAAGATTAAAAAGAAATTGGCAGTGAAGAAACCAATCATGATAGTAACTCAGATGTGACCAAAATTATGAAATTTGACTTTAGAAGCTCCTGGCTCAAAACTAGAGCCAGCGACTTCCGGCAGATTATCCCAGACGGCCACACATATTACATATTTGTATTTACATTTAATCTTATCTTGTTTCATTTTGTTGTACATAATGTATATATGACAGAAAATTATAAGAAAAACTGAGAATTTTGGTTTGTATGTCATAATGATTTTTGTTTGTTTCCCTTGTTCAGTAGCCGAGTTATTTATCTAGTGCACCAAAATAATTTGTCTTTTTTACTTGGATTCTGGAGAGGATTTTTTGCTTGTTCTGTGTTAGCAAAAATAAAATGAGGTACTAACTGTACCTGTTTTTTTCTAAGTAAAGTGTGTTTGTATGTATAATATGTTGACATGAGGCTGCTTCTAAGTGTAGGTATTATCTGTGTTTAACTGTACAAAGAGAATTGATTCCTTATCCTATCTGACTCTCTGTCTTGCATCCCCTCACTTACAAACTACACTCTCTTATACCCAAAAATAGGCTAGGTTACAACAACAAAATACACGCTTTGGCTGAAACCGGCAAAAGTATCGTGTTCACATGGCTACCTAGCCATGTGGGCACCCAAGGAAATGAGCAAGTGGACCTCCTGGCGAAAGAATCCTTGTCCGTTCTGTTGGGATCAACTACGAACACTCTCCCACAGACTAATTTAAAAAATAAGTAAAAAACTACATCTCCAGTCTGTGGGAGACTCATTGGAAAAAGCAAGTATACAACAATCTTCACTACAGTAAGCCCGAACTGGGACCCCAAAATCCTCGGGCTTCTCCAGAAGAGACGAAGTCATTTTTACTCGATTACACATCAGACACAGGTCCCTGACACATAGGAGACCTCCTTCAGGGAGATGAGAAACCGTTTACCATTAGACACATATTTTAAAAGAATGTCTAGATTTTGGAGAGGACTGAAGGAAATATTTTAGATGCAAAAAATTGCAAGATATGTTTTCCGTCGTTGATCCCAACAGAATCCTTCATTTTGTATAGGCCGCTGGCCTTTTTGGAAAATTTTGAATCAGATTGTGTAAAAATTTTTATGTTATTTAAAACGGTATTTTAAATTAAGAATTTATTTACATTAAATTTTTAGCATTTTAGTAGAGGTGTTGACCGGAATCAGTATACAGTTGCGAAAAGAATCAACTTTTTTTGCGCGCTCATATGACCTTTTGCGGTTGCGAGCGCTGTAAAACTTACTTAAACTAAACTAAAAAGTAAGAATGAAAAATTAGTTAGAGAAATCTATCCAGGCCAATATCACTGACCACCTTATGCAGTTGCGGGCGCTGTAAAACCCCATACTATACTAAACTAAAAACTGTCCATCTCGGGATAACACATATTATTACACTTGTAAACAAAGCTTTCTTTTTCTATGATGGAATAATTTTGCAAATTATACTCATTTTCTGTTGGTGCTAGCAATGAGACAAGAACATTTTACAAAAGTGTTAGGCAATAAATTAAGAATCAAGTAGAGTTCTTTTGTCATGGAGAGCCTGCAGCAACTGTCCTAGTGTAATTTGAGCGTTTACTCTTAAATTCCACTTTTACTAGTTCTGGATTTCATGGAACCAGTGTGATTTCTTTGACTGTCTACTTAAACAAAATTGATTGTACTTTTTATTTTGTGTAATCTAGATCTGTTGTAAATTTGTATTTATTCTTAAAATAAACAACATTGATATTGAGTATACTTGTTTTCAACTTGTCACTTTATTTGGAGCTTGCAAAAAGCATTCAAGTGTTAATGTGTCATTAAGAATTGTCTTGCTTCCAGTTGCACTCATACATTG